TTAGTCAATGTCATCCAAAATCCATAGTATAATTGTTTCAGTTTGAGGCTATGGCCCCGGGTTCCAGCATAGCTGCTGCGGTATGTCTGGGAAGCCCCTCTCACGGTCAGGAACACATTGAGGACAGCAATGTTCTCTGTACTAATAATTAGACTACCATCTACTTTTGGAAGGCTCTCGTGAAAGCCATGGCCAAGGGAATTTGCCTTTAAAAAATAAAATTCCCTTCTGCAGAAGAGAATGTCACTGCATCCAGAAAAATTCTCTAACCTTTACGTTTTAGCTATCTTACATTGACCACATTCTTAGTATGTTGGTATGCTATCTAAAAATAAGATTTAAGAAGTAAGTTTTAAACCATGTTGTTAAAACTGTAAGGAAAGTTCTTTTAATATTCCTATTGACTTTCTTTCCAAAACTTACAAGTTGGAAACACAGAATTTAGAAGGTAAATTTAACGCTACAGCTACAGAGTCAGAAGATGGGAGCACTGTTGGGGAGATACTCGGCAGTGGGAGGGTGTAAGACATTTGGAATTAGGACAGAGTTCAAGTTATAGATGCAGAAAAGCAAGTTGGTAGATACGGGTTCAAGATACCTTGGGGGGGGTGGTTTCTTTCTATTTCTGTAGGCTTGAAATTCTTCAAAGTAAAACTTGATGGGGAAAAGTTCACCGTCTTACTGGTGCCGTGTACTCAATGGTCCCATTTGGTGCTAAGTGACTACCGAGTGAGAGGAACCTACTCTGCGCTCCTAAACCCCTCTGAATTACAAACTAAATGTTAGGAAGCTGAATTGTACATTTACCAGATAAAAGAGACACAGAGAACAAGCCAATCCCTGCCTTCAAAAATATCTTTGCTCTGCACTAGGTACCATTTTGATATTTTTGTCACCATCAACATCATGATCCTCATCAACATGCTCACGTGTCTACCTATTTCCCAATCCCACTGAACTAGTGCAAGTCAGGAACTGGTATTATCCATCTTTATTTCTTGGTCATCAAAAATAGTGATACATGAAGGATTCGTCAAATACCCCTTGGATGGATAGAATGCTATCTCTTGGCTTGTTCTTTACTCCGGGATTTACTATAGTCCAAATGGATATGAAGCCTCACTCTGGATTGCCTAACTAAAATAGCCTCCATCTATTGGAGACTTAGGATGTGCTGGGTGCTTCCTACAGTCTTCCCATATATTAACTCAATTAGGCCTCGCGCCACACCGAGATGTGAGTAGTAAACTTCTCCTTTTACAAGTAAGCAAAGAAAGGCCTATCTCTTCCACTGTGACACACAAAGAAACCATACCAGATTTGGCCACCAAGAGGCCCCACAAAGCCGTCTTACTACTACTACACAAAGTGGGGCTCCCCGGGTGGAACAGCACGCATGTTCAGGTCACTTTGCACACACTCAATGTGGAAGGATCCAAACAGCACCAAGGGGACTTTCAGAGAACTGATCCTCAGCGGGCATGGCCTGCAGACAGGTCAGACTTTGGGAATTTCCTGCTTAATTTCACCTTTCTAAATGCAACGGACTAAAAATAACCTGCAAGGGACATGTGATCCCGGTTTCCGAAAACACTTGGTGTGCTTTTCAGCATCAGCAAGTTGCGTGTTGTGTTGAAAAAAAACGTTTCCAATTATTGGGATTCCATAGTGTATTTAATTTTGCAATTATCTCACTGTATTAAGGAATGCTAGAGTACAGCAGCAGTTCCCGGGATCTGGGCAATTTGGAAGAACAAAATGTATTCTTTCCCCCAGCTGATTACTTCTCAGGAGCCCATCCTTTTTTCTGTGGGAATGATCCTAGTTTTGAACCACTTCATTCAGAAATATAAAGCGAACCAGACCCCCACACTTGCTAGTCCAGCTTTAACCCCAGTGCAAACTAAACATATTTCTGGGCAGAAACATCCACAAATCCATACCGGGTTTTTTTTTTCTTCATGGATGCTTTAGGCTCCTTTTCTCTTTTGAAATTCCAATAAATACAGTATAAATAGAAATTTAAAAAGCAGTCATACAAATTGAAAGTTTTCAGTGATGTGCACACAAACGCACTTCTATTCATTTACTTAATAAGGATTTATCCCACAAAGTTCATAATCAGGCCGCGGAGCCTGGAGCACGCCATCAAAACATCAAAAGTGTGTGTTCTGTGATGCCTCCGTTACCTCAGCAAATGTGAAATGCAATCGTGCAAAATTAAACATTCCATACGTTTTCTATTCATTCTCTAACACTCCCCCTATACTCCAAAATAGGCTATCACGCTTTTGAGTTTTCTTGTTTCTGGAAGCATTACAAGAAACAGGTCTTTTCATTTAGTGCTTTTCAGCTAAGACTCACCAGGCTGTTTACACATAAAACATAATTAACCCACACAGCCTGCAACATCCCTACCCATCAGGAGCTCTCCTTGGTGATGGAGAAGCTGTCCTTATATTTTCTAGGCCTGATTGTGGTCCAGGCTTTTACATACAATGTCCCTTTTACTTGTACGAGACTAAGAGGCACAATCTGGAAGAGGAAAACCTTCTTCCCCACCAGGTAATAGTAAAGGACACAGACTCTGGACCCTAACCAGCTCACATTTAAAACTAGCCACAAAATGGCTGAGATGAGCCCCTTGGCTTCCCTGTGCTTTGGTTTTGGAGAGGTAAGATTCGGGATCTTATCAGCCAACATGCCACAGGGCAACTGAGATATAATGAACTAGTACATGTAATTTAATCACGATGCAGCCTTTTCTTTTAGCATCCAGCCTTAACAGCGTTAGCAGTTGGTATCAAGTCACTTACCTATGACACCTGACCTTTTAAATTACATCACAGTGACATCATGGGAGTCTCACCATCTTCCTGTAAAGCAATGGAAGTAGACGCCTCTATTCCAAATCTTCTCCTGGAGAAGGGGATTTCAGACAGGCCCACCAGCACTCAGAACGTGAACCCCCGGAAGGCAGTCTAGCATGTTTGTACTATGCCTCTCTCTATCCCGAGAAAGCCAGAGAGCGGACTGACTGGTTCAGACAGGCCCCTACTTACTTTGTTGGGGGAGTAAAGGGTCTTGTTTCAAGGGAGACATAAAAGCATTCTGCTGCCAAGGCCTGTCTTTCACAGCAAAAAAAAAAAAAAAAGATCCAGATCGGCAGGAGACAGGACAACAAGACGCCATCATGATTTCTGCTAACTATGAAATGAAAGTTAATTTCATGCTTTGCATCCACAGACAAAAAGGTTCAGAGCTGTGTTTAAATTCTCTTCGGCCCGATGACAGTTAGTAAACAGGCGGCCTCATGTTCTACTGTTTGAAGTCACCCCTTTGGATCTCAATATATTATTTATGCACCCAGCTTAAAATAAACAACAGCTCTGAAGTAGGTGAGTGGTCTCGTTTAGTGCAATCTTTTTTTTTTTTTTTTTCATTCTGACAGTTACTTTAAAACATCAGTAAACAGCCTTAATTCACTTCTAACAGATTAGTAAGCTGCTGCTGCTGTGTCTACAGGAGGTGAGCAGATTGCACTATTAACCAAAACAACTTTCTCCCTGTCAGTCATCTGCACCTCTCAGAGGGATGTAAGCCTTGCAGTCTTGATGCCTAAAGTATCCTGAGGCACACCTAGTTCCGGACCGCATCTTCTGGGGTAGCTTGGTCACTGCTACCCTTGACTAGCTCTCTTGACTCTGGGTGTAGAGTGGGGCCTGGAGAAGGAAGATTCTCAGTGCTGCTTGTTGAGAAAGATATGAACACAGGAGAACCTTTCCAAAGGGGCAGGCTTTGGGTACGGTCACAATGATGTCTCCTTGGGAATAGAATTTAACCTTAAGGGACCTGTCGGGAGCCACCCTGAATATTTGAAAAGGTTTCATGCTCAAGGGGGAAGACGTATTCTTTGTAGGGATGGATAGTAAAATTAGGATTCCGGGGAGGTAGCTTGAGAATGAACTCCTCATCAATTCAGGAGCAATGAATGTTGCTGGTAAAATATTTGCCCCCTGCAGAGGTCCTCAAGGATTAGTGAGTTGGAGCCCTTAGAGATGACCACCAAATGTAAATGCTACAACCTCGTACCGGAATCCCAAGGCTGGGTACTAATGTGGACTCCAGGAAGTTTCTGAATTCCTTTGGGTTGGAAGTTTTTAAAGGGTACCATCTACTTTTTCAAAAGAAAATTCCATGGATTAAGTACTTAGTCACATAGCCAGCCAGCCCATAGTCAAATACACAGTTCTAGGATGCTGGTTGATTCGAAAAAAATGAAAAGACGTACCATTGCCATGAGTAACTTTAGTTAAATAGCTGCTGGGGGACAATCCTACCCATGCCACAATCTGGGGCAGTGTAGCTTTGGAACCGTTACCACCCATTGGATAAAAGGCAACTTCAAACCTCCTAGACAGCACCCAGCTGTGAGAGGGATGGTCTGCGCCCACTTCACTCTCTTTGGCCTCCTCTCCTCTCCCAAAGGCTGGAAACACAATGTTTAGCAAACCATCTAGTTGAGATTCATCGTCAAGGCATCACTCACCCTTATGGAAGCCAGCCCCTCCTCCAAGAAACAAACCGATGGCTCAAAACACAAGTTCAATGCAATTGGAAAGGGAGAGAGAGTTTATATATATATATATATATATATATATATATATATATATATATATAAAGTACAAATACCTCGAATTTATAATTTATATCAAGAATTTATGGCAACATTTTTACACTATACAGACATTTATTATTCCAAATTTTCTAGCCAACTTCATATGAATTTACTGTTCTTGTAGATTTTTTTTTTCTATAGCCAACATCTAGATGAAACATTTGAGAGGTCAGAAACATTAAATTCTTCAAAGACAGGCAGATTATCAATATCTGGGTGTAAAACATGGCGTTACTGAATCCCTGATACAGCAAAAGCAGACATCTGGTATTTGCACTTTGGAGCAATAGAAAAGAACATGGCAAGAATGCGGTATACTTACAAAGTACCCTTCATCCATGGGGCTCCAATTTTACCAATATTAGCTCACTGATTTTCGCAAAAAACCTGAAAGGAAGAGGGTAGGTTTGTGTTACCCTCACTTTGCAGATGTGGACAGTGAAATATAAGGAGGAGGGAATGGGTACACTACAGGGCTTTTACGGTGAGGATAGGGGAAAGGAAGAAGGAGAGAATTATAACTGGCTTTCCATATTACAACACAGCACGATCACCCATCCCTCCCTTGGAGACTGACAATCCCATGCAATCCTCACCACAATCTCAGCTTACACACGGTTGCCCCAGGGAAAACGGTGGGTGAGGAAAGCCGCATGTTCTTAGGAACCCAGACCCCGACATCCATTAAATACTATGAGAGGGTAGAAAACACTTCTTGTTGTTCAGTTTATAGTAGAGAGGGAAACCGAGATAGACAAAATGCAGCCATCCGACGAAAATTTGGCCTGAAGATAATGTTTCTACTGCTCAGTTTGTTGTACTTATGTTCACATTTCAGCATATGGACTTGTGTTGGAAGTACATTCCAAGGGAGTCAGAATGCTGCAAATGTAATCTCACAACATTTTTAGAAGGGCGTATTTTTAACAAATCTTTCTAAGATGTCACGTCCTTTCTATCACGCTCAAGCCATTGTTCACACATTCCTTAAAAAGATGTTTAATTGGTTGTTACTACAAGCAAGTCTAGCTCCACATGTGGCTTCTTGGAAGACAGAGAATGTGGATGGCATGGGTCTTGTCACCAAGAAATGTTGAATCCTATGGTTTGGTGAATGTATACAGTTGCAACCATCACGATCAGAAACTGTGTGGAACGTTCTGTCAGCTTCCGGACACTTCTAGTGAGTCATTGACACTTGCCTGGAAAAGATACTACTTCCAGGAGAACTCTTGAAAAAGATGAGCTTAGGCTCTTCCTGTGTGCCAAACTCTCAGTAAAGATGAAACATAGCTCCTGGAAAATGGGAATCTAAAGTCTTCCCAATAGCTGTGATTTCAGGGTCACATATCGCATGGTTTTCTCTGTACTCACCCATGCAACACTGACTTTTTCTAGTACTCCCCCACCTCCCGGACTCTGTCCTTCCAAGCATTCTTCCGCTACAGTGCCTATGCCTCTTTCATAGGATCACCGCCCAAAGACCCACTCACTGCACCTTCCTCCAACTACTTCTAAAGACCCTCCCTGTCTTCCCTGTCTTCCCAAGACTTGTGTCCCTGTCACGTGGGCCCATATCTTTGTTTTTCTATGGCCCTCCATTACAAAAACAAAACAAAATAACAAAAAAAAAAAAAAAAAGAAAAAAGAAAGAAAGAAACACTCCACAAGTAAGTCATATTTGATCTCTGACAAATTTAGGACCAAAACAAACCCCAGGCACAGTCAGCAGAAAGTAGGTCCCAGCCCCTCATTCTTCTCCACCTCTTTTTCCTCTCATGGGGCACTGTTGAAATTAGTGATGGATGTCATTTTTTTTTTCTTGCACCACCCAAAAGAAGAAACAGAAACTTCACTAACATTCAGTGAACTGATTTAAAAAGAATCGTAATAAACGCCCATTTTTATCTTTTCTTTTTTTTTTTTTTTTTCTTTTCTTGATCACTAGAACAAAAGCTGGGTGATCTCCTTTGCCCGGCCAGCTCTGCAACCCTCAACCCTCCTCTTCTCCCCTGGCCCTTTGTTTCTCAATATCTGAAGTATGGGAGCTCTCCTGCAAATTTCCGAGTTTCCTCCTAGCTTAGAAGCCACGGAGATAGAATGACAGACCAAATCATATCTAAACCTTTTTACATCTCCTGTCTTAACAGCACTAACGAGGTGTAAATGTACCTGTAAGGTCTCAAGGTCGCCATTCCATACCAAGCAAAGTAGGGACCTTTGTGTGTGTGGGGGGGGGGGGCACAATTTGATGCATTCAAGTTTTAAAGGAACACCACAGGCATCTCCGCCAAGCCGCGCCCCATCCCCCACTCTCACACCAGGGACACATGACAGACATTGGGAGAACAATGGTGCCTCTGCCACTTACGGCATCTTCAGTCACAGACACTTCACTTGGATCTCTAAGCAGACTTCCTGTTTGCTTCCACATTAATAAAACTCACACCTTTGCCAGTCAGAATTTTTTTTTCTTACCCAAGCATCTGAACATCCAAAGAGATTTAGAAGCAATTAACGTTCACAAGTAACAGAGCGATCAACATGGGAATTACTAATGGGACTGGACAGAATCCAAAAGCTGATATTAGGATAATAGCATGTCTCTGACATAGGTTACGGTGCTAATTCTACAGGGCGCAGGCTTGGCTTTATTTCAGTGGCTTTGCGGGCTGTCATCACACTCACATAAGACTGTTCTATATAAGGCTCCCCACCCCCCCCCACACACACACACAACATACATTGTTGTTTTTTAAACTGCCTGTGAGGAGAAGGCATTTTTGCATCGTTATAAGACAACCTCAAGCATTAATGGTATACATTGAATTCAGGTTTATTTTTAAATTGCCTACCTGACAAAAAATGCTAAAATGACATTTTCCCCCATTTTGGGTCTCTAGACTATCTCCACCTGCTAGCTTTTGTAGCCAGAGGCCACAAAAATAATAGCCATGGATTTCTACCTCTCTTCTCCCAGGTCACTCTTCCCACTGTGTGTGTGTGTGTGTGTGTGTGTGTGAGAGAGAGAGAGAGAGAGAGAGAGAGAGAGAGAGAGAGAGAGCACAGAGAGGAAAGACAGGACATGCCCATTCTTGGGAGATCTGGTCCAGTTTTTCTTACCAGTTCCACTGACTTGTTTTCATAACAATTACCCAGCGCTCAGTGCTAGCTGGACTTGTATCGTCCCATCCCACACACCCAAGGCTAAGGGAACATTCTGGAAGAGATGGAAAGTGTATGAGAGAACTCGAAGACGATCCCTGCAAATCAGTGCCTTCTGAACACAAGGCCGTTGTACTCAGGGACTCACAGCATCGGTGGTTGCCAGCACAAGACCTCTACAAGATCAAGCCAGTCCACATTCTAACATGGATGAGGGAGGGACTCACAAGGCCCATGGCTAACTGAGGAGTCACTGGGAGTTGATGGCTCTTGGGGGAGGGAGAGGCATTTCTCTTCGGGAACGTAGCCACTAGTAGATTTCTGTTCTAGTTGCCTTTCTGTGGCAGTGATGAAACTCTGACAAGCAGCAACTTGGGAAAAGATTATTTTTGGCTTACACTTCCAGGTCACAGTCTGTCATTGAGGGAAGTCAGGGCAGGAACTCAAGCAGACACTTAGAGCAATGCTTGCTGGCTCGTACATAAGCCCTTGCTTATCTAGCTTCCTCCTACAGCCCACAACAACCCACTGGGGAAATGGCACCACCCATAAAGGGCAGGGTCTTACTGCATCAAGAAATTGCTCCAGCAGACACCAACCTATCTAAGCCAAACCTATCTAAGCAATCCCGTAATGAAGACTCCCTTCTCCGGTGAGTCCAGATGATGTTGAATTAACAGTAAAGGTTACTCAAGCTGTCCGTGCTCCTGTGGATGACCCTACACGGATGTATATGGGGGCCACACTAACAGAACGTAGTGGGATTTTTTTTTAAGAAGGACATGAAGTGGGAAAGGGGAAATGCTGGGCGTGGGGTTGTCCAGGAGAAAAAGAGAGATGGGATAAAATACATTGTACGTATCTAGAAGATCCTTGACAAATAAGTAAAAAACCTTTTTCCAAAGTGTATTGGGGCTGAAAAGATAGTTCAGCAGTTAGGGACACTTGCTCTTCTTTCAGAGGACCCAGCATGCACATGGTGGCTCACAACCATCCATGACTCCAGTTGTAAGAGGTCTAATGCCTTTTTCTGACCTCTGTGGGCACCGCCTGCACATGACACTTATAGACATGGAGGCAAAACACTCACATACATAAAATTAAAATAAATCTTTTCTAAAGTACTCAAAAGCAGAGGTTAAATACTTCAAGAGTCTGGGATAAAAAGAAAACAAAACAAAATAAACAACAACAAAAAAAAGCCATGACTTCCAACTTCCCAACCCTTCACCCTGCTGGGGAAGTCCCCGCATGGCCAGGAGTGTCCCGTTATCATTCTTCCCCTGCCTGATTCACTCACTGCTAAAATCCATCATAGACTCTGTTGTCACTCTCTCTCTTCCCTTCATATTGGACCAGCTTCTAGGATCTCAGTCCTGGCATCACCTCCCCCTCCCCCTCCCTACCTCCCCCTCCCCCTCCCTACCTCCCTTTCCCCCTCCCTCTTCCTACCTCCCCTCCCTACCTCCTCCTCCCTACCTCCCCTTCCCCCTCCCTACCTCCCCCTCCCCCTCCCTACCTCCCCCCCTCTCCCCCTCCCTACCCCCCCTACCTCCCCCTCCCCCTCTCCCTCCCTACCTCCCCCTCTCCCTCCCTACCTTTTCCTCCCCCTCCCTACCTCCCCCTCCCCCTCCCTCTCATCCTCCCCTCCTTCTCGCCCTCCCCTCCCCCTCCCCCTCCCCCTTCCTCTCCTCTCTCTCTCTCTCTCTGCCTGATGGACAGGTTGCTCAGTCTTTAGGATCCCTGCCTCTCCTTGCCCATGCCTACCTCAGGGCCCTGGGCAACCTCCTCCTGCAGAGACTACCCCCCTTGGACAGAGAATGCAGTCCGTTCTGGTGTTTCACTTTGTACATACTTGCTATATCTTGTAACTCATTTTAGTAATTTATACCATTTGCTTTATTTTTTCTGAGTGATCTAATAAATGAACTGTGTGCCTAGAAAGGGTTTTCATCGTTTCAACCGCTCTGATGTTAGACATCGGCACGTAACGGGATGGACGCCCCTTCTTTCCATTGGGCTCCTTTTTTGCTTTTTCTTTGCTTGTTTCCATTTCACTCGTGCTTTCTTCCATTGTTTTCCCCTTACAGCTTAGTGCTTCTATCAAGAGCGCTCCTTCTTTACAGTCCAGCATGTGTGTTTTTACCTCCGTCTTCCTACCACTGACGCACGCCCAATATAAAGCGTGTTTCTTCGTGTGTGTGGGGAGGGGAATGGGGTGT